TTTATTAGAAACCATTTAGGGAAAGGAGCAGACACAAACTTCAGTCATGGTCCCAGCAACACGTAACAATCAACACAGGAGGGAAACGAGACTAAGAATGAAGCGGTTGTCGCAGGAGGATGGTGGCTGAGTAATTCCTGTTCTTGTCTTTCAACCTCATTCCTCAGGCAGCAGGGAGGGCGGGCTGTGGCCCAGTTGGGGTTTAGAAAGTTCTCTTTCCACATGTGGGGAGGACTGGAAGCCCAGAGGAGACTGGGGCGGCTCAGGGCAGGCGAGGCGGGTGCTCGGGCCCCAGCAGTGGGAAAGCAGCAGAGGGGACTGAAGGAGGCTGGAGGGAGGGGTGGGCAGGGTCAAAGCCAACAAAAGCACGTTATGTAAGACCAGACACAAGAGACAGCAGAAGCCCCAGATGCTGCACCCCCAGGGGCTGACCCAGACCTCGGCTAAGGGCAGCAGCCCAGGCCTGGGCACTGCTTCCGGCCAGCCTGCTCTCTCTGCAAAGCTGGGGACAATGAGGAAGCCACTCACCAGGGTGGGGTGGCCGAAGGCAGAACACTTCCATCCTTTCACTCCTGGCACTTACAGCCACTTCCCACATGCAGAGAGGTAGGTTTTGTAAAACCAGTCTCAAAAGAAGCATTATTTGTTTTGCTCCATGCATAAACGAGATACCCCTTTTCTCACATCTGATTGTCCAAAAAGGTGACAATACTCAGGACTGAGGTACGCCTTGGCAGGAGGGTATCAAGTGTTTGCTGCCTCTTCACAGGCCGAGTGTCAATAAATCAGAATGTCATGCAGGAGTTCTATTTTGAGGCCTCTCTGATACTGGGACCTCGTGCACACCAGCAAAACGCCAGAACTGACCCGGGGTCCATGAACGGGGGACAAAGTACCCTGCACACAGAAAGGAGCCACCAAGAAAGGACGAGGTAGACTTGTGTGCTGACACAGAAAGATGTCCACAACTTACCAAGTGAAAAAAATCAACCACAGAAACATACAATAGGACCTGGTCTTATAAACAAAGCCACAGAGCGTGTACACAGAGAGGGATACGTCTAGAAACGGCGACACATGGAACTTGAGGGATTTCTTCCGGGCCGTGGGATTGAAAGGAGAAAGATGGAGTGAGCTTTCTTCTTCTTCTTTTTTTTTTTTTTTACTGTACCCTCCTAAATTGTTTGCGTGTGCATTAGTTTCACAATGACACAAAGTCAACAGGAGCTGCCTAGAGGTGGGACGCACCGGAGGGCTGCGACCGCTAATGGGCACAGGGCTCGCTTCAGGGGTGATGACGGTGCTCTAAATGGATACAGGCAATGGTCGCACGGCTCTGCAAATGTACTAAAACCAGAAATGGACACTTTAAGAGGGTGAATTGTATGGCAGGTGAACTATGTCTCAATAAAGCTGCTATTTATTTTTTTACCCTCCTTTTCACAGGCATTGAGAAACTGCTATTAAAAAAAAAAGTAGCCAGGGGAAAGGTGAGCAGGGCAGAGGGAGGAGCATAGCACCTGCTACCTCCCCCACCTGCCTGCTCAGGTGACAAACCCTGCAAACCCTACAGCAGTGTGTGTGCATGCAGGGAGTCCTCCCACAATATCTGAGTCCCTCAAGGCTGTCCTAGCAACAGAAAGGGACCCCCACCCCAGCCAAGGCCAAGTTTCCGGCCAGGGGCACCCAGGCCCTCACCTGCTGCAGCTCGGTCTGTGTGGCTCAGGCCATATGCAAAGAAACCCTCATACAGCTGCGAAGCCACTCATGGCCCACATACCTCCACTTTCTGGTCCTAGCCTTGCCCCCTGGGCCATGTGGAAGGTATGGGCTGGCCTGACCCAGCCACCTGCCCCAAGGCCTTGTTCCTTCTATTTGTCATGGGGGTCTGCCATCACTGCATCACTGCCCTCCAGACCCATGGCAGGCGGCCCACATTCGCCTCACACAGTTGCCAAGGCAGAAGGATCACCGTAACCAAGGCTTCTGAAAACGCAGGTGGATTCTCAAGTCTACCCTGACCCCAGGGACTGGACAAACCTCAAAAAAATAGGGCCCCAACCTCAGCTGCAATTGCCACCTTCAGACTCCCAACATCCCGAAGACATAGCCCACTGGGCCACAGGAGAACCTAATAACAGAGAGGCAAGGACAATCTCAACGATAACAGCTGAGCACTTCTTATGCCCCCGGCATTGGGCTGGCTTCCAACCCGCATTGTCCCATAAATACTCCCCTCAGCCCCAGCAGGCAGGCATCATTATTATCCCCATTTTACAGATAAGAAAAGTGAGATTAAGGTGCTGGCCCAAGGTCAAGTCAGCTAAAGCACAGAGTGAAGTGGTGAGCTGTGTGACTTGCGCTTTGTGTTTTAGGACTTTGAGCAGGCTCAAGTCTGGAGATTTAGGGGGAAATTTGAGATTGTTAACATTAGGCCCTCAGAGCTAGAAGGGACTTCAGCCATCAGGTGGCACACCCTCTCTGGTTCACAGCTAGGGAACCTGAGACCCAGAGAGTAAGTGACCTGCCCACGCCCCAGGTTACTCAGGCCTCCTGGCTTCTGGATCCGGGCTCCTTCCTCCCTCCTATAAGTGGGAGGGACTCCTCCTGCCCCCCACCCCCCAGGGGCTGCTGGTGTGGGAACAAGCCCCTACTTGCCAGGGGCTTTGAAATCCCAGGATGAAAGGTGCCCTGGCAGCAGAACAGCGCTGTGGGCAGGAGCGCACCTGACCTTTGCCAGGACTTGCCGGCAGGCTGCAATCACCTGCTCACCTGCGCGGGGCGGGCACAGCGCTGCAGCCAGGTGCCAGAGCCCTCACGGGCCTGGGAGCTCCAGTACTGCAGGAAGGCGTATTCCCGCCTCTGACGTTTCTACTGGGGAGGAGAACCAGGTCCCAGGTGGGGAGGATTCCGGAATTTTAACTGTCTGCCATGGAAGTACCCAGGGCTCCTTGGGTGGGGCGAGAGCCCAGGCTCACTGGGGTGGCACAGGCACGCCCTCATTCCCCTCCTCGGTCCCTCCAACAGAGATTTCCCAGGCAGCTCACTTCCTCTGGAGGGTGCTGGGAGGCTTCCTGGCTCCCCCCTTCTAACCTCTCCCCCTCACGTGTCAGGAGTCCCTCAGGTGAGCCTAGACCAGGAATGTGAGGCATTTGAAGAGGGTTATTATTAGCACTGAAGTGTTGAGAAGAGAGAGGCCAGCAGGGTCTGAGCAAGCACAACCCTCTTCCACCCAGTCTGGCATCTGCAAAACCAACCCAAGCCTCCCCAGGAGAGGACACTTCACCTTCTGTGGTCTCAGTCCCTCCCCTATAACACGGGGGAGAGGAGGGTGGGCTGGCAGGGCTCAGTCCAGGCGGCAGGAAGAGGAGAGCCAGAGCTGGGTGTGAGGAGAGGAAAAACCCCACAGAAGGCACTGCGTACCCCACCCACACCCAGGCCGGGTGAGGGGCCTACAGCAGGCCCTGAATGGAGGGACTGTTCCAGAGCCCCAGGAGGTTGCCACGACAGGGAGGGGACAGGAAGACTCCGCCCTGGCTCTTCCTCCTCCCAGCGTCCAGGCCTTGTCCTACAAGGAGGCTCTCCAGTTCTTAACCCCCTGCTGCTCGGAGGCTAAAGAGGGTCTGATTCATCTCCACGTCACTCCCACCCCTGAGCCCAGCCCCAGGCCTGGCCCGGGGGAAGCTCAGGCCACCCCAGCCCAGGACTATAGTCACTGGCAGGCCTCCCCAGCACCTTCTTAGTACCCAGCAAGGGTGGGGCTCTGGGGACAGGGACTAAAGGGACACCTGGTCAACTGCTGTCAGGGGTCCCTGCTCTCAAGGGAGTGTGGAGGCCATGGCTGCTGAAACTCTACAGGACATCAAGATAAGAGTAGGCAGACACGGTGCTCTGGGCCCACTGGACAGGGAGAAGCAAATGTGGCCATGAGGAACTGTCTCCTCTCTTCATGGGCTGCCCCCGAGGCTACCTGCCCCGGCTCGCCTATGCCAGGTCCTGTACTAAGCAAACTACATAAATGAGTTGACTTAAGTCTCTCAGCAACTCATAATAAGGAAAAAATCATTGACCCTATCTTAAAGAGGAGAAAACCAGGGCGCCAAGACATTAAGGGACTTGTCCAAGATCAAACGCCTGGGAAACAAACGCTGGGATTCCACCCAGGGCAGCCTCGCCAGCCGCGAGGTCTGCCAGGGCTGAGTTTCTCAGGCAGCCAGAGATCCTCACCGGTCTCCCCACTCTCCAGGGTCTGGGGGGAAAGGAATGCAGGACCCTGCTGCAGCCCCGGCGCTTCCCCAGGAGCCTCGGGGACAGCTGCCCTTCGGAGAAGCGGCACCGCGCAGTGACAGGCTGCGAGCAGGGCTGGCTGAAGGAAGGGGCTGAGGCGGCTGGGAACTGGCCCTGCGAGGGCCCCGCTCTGGCAGTGACCAGCCCCTCGCCCCCGCTGCCAGCAGGAGCAGCCTGCGAGTCTGAGCCGAAGGACATGGAACCCCACGTCCTCCATGCCTCCCAGTCTTGTGCCTCGCCCCACTCTCGTCGCTCAGCCTGGGCCCTGAGAACCGGTTCCCTGGAAGCCTCGGCCACGTGTACCAGGGCTGGGGCCGGGACAGCTAGGGAGGAGGGTCAGGACGCGCTGTGTGGGGGAGATTCCAAAGAGGGTAGAAAGTGGGCTCGGAACGCTTCTGGGCTGGGACAGCCAAGGGCGGCCAGTCTGCGACCCGCGTTGGGGGATCGGACAAGACCGGGCTCCGAAGGGGTTCCGGTAGGGAAGGGTCTCTGAGTCCCCTCAAGAAGCGGAGGGCGGAGCTCAGAAGCTGGCGGGCAGGGGCGCCCAGACTCGGAGGGAACAAGCTCGCGCGCGGGGCTCGGCCCCGGCAGCTCCCGCTCCGCCCGACCCGTCTCTCCGGAGACCCCGGCCCGGCGCGGACGGCCGCCTCGGGGGGCGTGGCCCGGGGGTCGCGGCAGAACCCTGGGCGCGCGCGGCGCGGCCAGACCCTCACCTGCGATCTGCTGGCGCCGGGCGTCGTCCAGGTGCGTGGACAGCAAGTCCCCCATGGCGAGGAAGAGTCGCGGCCCGATCCGGCCGCCGCCCGCCGCTGCCCGTGCTGCTCAGGCGGACGCCGCTGGCGCCATGGAGCCCGCCACGCCCTGCCCCCGTCGCCCTGCCGCCCCCGGCCGCGGCTGCCGCTCCCGCTCCGCTCCGGCCCGGCCGCGTCCCCGCAGCCTCAGCCTCCCGCGCCAGCCCGCGCCCGCTGCCCCGCCAGGCCCCGCCCTGCCCGCCAGGCCCCGCCCCGGGCGGGCCCCGCCCCCTCCCGGCTACGGGCGGGGAACCCGGGCTGGGGACGCCGGGACCGCCGGGGAGGCGCAGACAAAGAGAAGGTCCCGAAAGGGAGGCGGAGGAGAGACGCGCAGAGAGCGCACCCGACCCCGACCGAGGCGAAGAGATGGGGCTGGTGGGGCATCTGAAAGAACTGGGGGTGCCCTGGGGGGCTCCAGCCTTGGAGACACCCTCCCTCCTCTCCTGCCCTCTGTGCGCGGGAAGAGAACCATGCCGAGGAGGGCGTGCGGGAATGGTAGGGGAAGCCTAGGCCGGCGAGCCGGAATTTGCGTTCGCCCGCGCTCCTCCCGCCCTCTGCTCCCTGAAGCGCTCCCCCAGCCCCCAGTCCTGCCCGCGGCCGGCTGCACTCAGGAAGTTCCTGGCCTTGATCCGACCTGCCCCCGAAGGTGTGCCAGCCTGTCTTGCACAATAGCTGTAGGAAGGGGCGAGGCGGGGAGGGCTCTGGCCCAAAGGCACCCCAGCCCCAGTGCCGGGCGGGCGTTACTCAGGTCCAGAATACGGGCCGTGCCTCACTCGGGAGGCAGCTTGTGAGACGGGACAATTCAGAAGGGGAAAAAAATAATAGCACTTCGCAGTTTGCAAAAGACTATCAGAATCAAAACCCAGACTTTGGGTACCCGGCCTATGGGGCTGGGTGCGGGCGGGTCGCCACTACCTGAGAACGTGTTGCAGTCGCAGAACCTCCCTCCCCAGCTGGTAAGGAAGACAGTCAAGTTAACATCCGGGATCCTCAAATCACGGACTGCGGTGACAGAGGCCTTCCTTGGCTACCAATGCTCAGGTCTCCTGTCCTGCATTCTGACAAGGCCCATCCCGTTCCTGCTTGCTTACCCCGGGTGCCTGAGTGCTCACCACTTCTCTGTGCATGCCACCCTGTTATTGTAACTGTGATGTAAGGCAGAAAGTGACGATAATAACAGTTTACATTGCTGAGCACCTATACTTCAGGCCTGTCCACACCAGGAGGTAGGTGGGCCTGACTGATCGGAATGATACAGGCATTCCCTTGTGCTCACCGGCCATTCAGCAAACAGGTGACAAACACCTGTGTGCCAGGCCTTCCGTCAGATGCTGGGGATGAAAAGATGAGGAAGCCCAGCCTGCCCTCCTTTTGACCTTGGACAAGTGGCATTACCTCTTTGAACCTCAGTTTCCTCATCTGTCAAGTGAGAATAACGACACTTTGTTGGGAGGATTAAATGGGATAACAAAGTGCACAGGGTCAGTCATCTGTCAGCAAACAGAACCTGTCATTTTCTTATTCATCACAGTCCCTGCTCTCAAGATGGTAGAGAAGCTTGAAGAAGGAGCAGGACATTCTGTTTTGAGGAAAATTGCAGAGCTAGAAGTTGAAAAAGAAGAATCTTGATAGCAGATACTGGGGACAGCATTCCAGGGAGTGGGGACAGCACGGGCAAAGGCCCGTCGTTTGAAGAGCCGGTAGAGAGTCATAGGTGGAGTTGAAGTCAAGGTGGCAGAATTTACTGATTTCCATTTATAGGGGCAGAAACTGAGGCCCAGAGAGGGAAAGTGACTTGCCAAGGGCACACAGCAAGGCAGAGGCAGAACCTAGCCAGAGGCCAGGTCTGGTGACATCCAGTGTCTGGTTCTCTTTGAGCAACTAAAAGCCAGTGATGCTGGTCACTTTGTTTCATTTTTCCCACAGCCCAAGCTATAGGGACCAGAAGGGTCTCCTGTGCCCAGGGAGCAGATAGGTAGAGCTAGCTGGCATCTGGACACCACAGGACATCTTTTCAGTGAGGCCAGAGGCCTAGGCCACGTGGGGTAGAGACGGGCACAGCAGGCCTTCCCCAGCCTTCATAGTGCACCCAGGCCTGTGAGCCTGGAGCACCCACAAACTTCCCAGCATGCCAGGCCCCTGGCCCTTGGCCCTTGGCTTCGGAGACCTTCTGTGACACGTCGCCTAATCCCTCTGAGCATACATAGCCTCATGTGAGAGGCACATGAGATGGGAAAGTGGAAAGGCATTGTGGACTTGAGGGTGCTGTGCATGCGTGTGGATAGCTCCCCCAAACCTGTGCTCGTCCCGGACCACTCAAGATGCATTCAATCCACACACAAAAATGTTGTTGTCTTGGGAGGAGGTGGAGGGGAATTGGCTGCAAAAAACTCCAGAGGGAACTTGGTGGGGATAAAACTGTCTACGTCTCAACTGGGTGGTGTTGGGAGTACACACCTGTCTGCGCTTACAGAACTGTGTGCTTACAAAGGATGCATGTTATTGGATGTGAATTATACTTCCATGGAGCTTATTTTAAAATGAAAAAACATATGAAACACTTCCATGTGTCAGGTGCCATTCTAGACACTGGGGATACAAGAGAGTAATCAAGGTCCCTATATTCTCATGTTGGAGGAGAAAGACAACAAATGAAATAACTTCAAGAGAGTGATAAGCATTAAGATGCAACAGGGTGGCCGAGTGCAGTGGCTCACGCCTGTAATCCTAGCACTCTGGGAGGCTGAGCAGGCGGATTACTCAAGGTCAAGAGTTCAAAACCAGCCTGAGCAAGAGCGAGACCCGTTCTACTATAAATAGAAAGAAATTAATTGGCCAACTAATATATAAATATAGAAAAAATTAGCCGGGCATGGTGGTGCATGCCTGTAGTCCCAGCTACTCGGGAGGCTGAGGCAGGAGGATCGCTTGAGCCCAGGAATTTGAGGTTGCTGTGAGCTAGGCTGACGCCACAGCACTCTGCCAGCACGGCAACAAAAGTTGAGACTCTGTCTCAAAAAAAAAAAAAAAAAAAAGATGCAACAGGGTGACAAGTGGGGGTGGGGTGGGCTGCCACCTGGGAGGTGGCCTAGGAAGACCTCTCCAAGGAGATGACGCCTTGAGACCCAACTGGCAGGAAGGAGCTTGCTCCATAAAGATTCAGAAGAGCTGCCATTTGTGGAGCATGTGCCACACGCCAGGCACCACGGCACGGCTTTCCCGCCTCCTCCAGTCCTCACAGCTTCTGGGGTAGGAATGGCCATGCCCATTTTATAGCTGAATAAATTGTTGTGAGGATTTTTTTTTTTTTGAGACAAAGTCTCACTTTGTTGCCCAGGCTAGAGTGAGTGCCGTGGCGTCAGCCTAGCTCACAGCAACCTCAAACTCCTGGGCTCAAGCGATCTCCTGCCTCAGCCTCCCGAGTAGCTGGGACTACAGCATGCGCCACCGTGCCCTGGCTAATTTTTCTATATTACATAGTTGGCCAATTAATTTCTTTCTATTTATAGTAGAGACGGGGTCTCGCTCTTGCTCAGGCTGGTTTCGAACTCCTGACCTGGAGCAATCCGCCTGCCTCCGCCTCTCAGAGTGCTAGGATTACAGGCGTGAGCCACCGCGCCCCGCCTGTTGTGAGGAGTTTTAAAAAATTATTCCGTTGCATGCACACAGCGATCCTTGTTTAAATACTGGAACAGGCAGACCCAGAGCGGGCGCGCCAGGTGAGGCATAGTGTGAGCAAAGGCCGCAGGAGGAAGCGTGGGGACTGGGATAGATGGCTGCTCCAAGACCTCCTGCTGTGGACAGGTGGGACCAGATGAGGAGGCAACTAGAGAATGTCGAGAACAGAGACTTTTTATTTTATTCTGGGAAGATTTTAAAGTTCTTTAAAAGTTCTCAACTCTGTGCCATATCTCAATAAATCAGTGATTGTAATTAAAAAGTTATGATCTTTTCATGGGGGAGGAATGAAGTTTCTTGTTTGCCTTTTTTTTTTCCTTTCCCCCAAATATGACTTCATTAAATTTTTTTTTTTTTAAAGGAAAGAAAAATGAGGCTGGGTACGGTGGCTCACGCCTATAATCCTAGCACTCCAAGAGACTGAGGCAGGAGGATCCCTTGAGCTCAGGAGTTCGAGACCAGCCTGTGCAAGAGCGAGACCCAATCTCTACTAAAAATAAAAAAATTAGCCGGGCATGGTGGCGCATGCTGTAGTCCGCTACTTGGAGGCTGAGGCAGAAGGATCGCTTGAACCCAGGAGTTTGAGGGTGTTGTAAGCTAGGCTGATGCCACAACACTCTAGCCTGGGTGACAGAGGGAGACTCTGTCTCAAAAAAAAAAAAAAAAAAAAAGAAAAGGAAAAGAAAAAGAAAGGAAAAATTAATGTAGCCATCAGCACTATGGAGGATTCAGAAAGTTAAACATCAGAGAATTTCTCAACTCTGAGATGCTGGGAACCTCTATGTTTGAGGCCATCTTGATGTTCGCTTTTTAGTTTTGAGTAAACTGCAGGATCTTTTCACACATGTATTGGCCATCTCTGTTTTTTTTAATTTCATATCCTCTGCTTGCCTGTCTCTTGGAAAGTCTATCTTTTTTTCTTAATAATTTGTAAGGGCTCCTTTTACAGCAATTCCACTCTGCAAGGCAGGAGGGTCCCTGCTCCTTTGCAAGGACTCTGGACACTGTCCCTCTTCACCAGGCCCTCCCACCCCCTTTCCTTGGCCCTGGCCCTGGAGCCTGGTGGAAGATGCCAGGGATGTGGACAGAGGCTTGGAATGGTCCAGATCTGGAGCAGCGAGGGAGGGAACATTCTCCTCTACCCACCTGCTGGGCCACCCCCTCCTGAGCAGAGAATGCCACCCACAGCCCCTGACTGTCAGGCCTTTGTCAGGAAGTGGCTCCCTGCAAGGTTGCCCCACCCCAGCCTGCCCCACCCTAAAGCCCATTTGGAACCAGGGACCCAAAGGTGAAGAATAATAATACTTCGCTGCCAAAGGGAAGGTCCAGAGGTCAGAGCCAGAGCTTGGCCTGAGACCCGGAGAAGAGAAGGGATTTGCCGGAGAACATGGTGGCTAAAGACCCCTTCCCTGTCTGGAAGGAAGAAGGAGGAGCCCTTTCTCTCCCCACAGTCCCTCTCCCTCCTAGTT